AATACCATGACTTTTCCCATTATTTTTGAGTTTGAATTATGATTCAAATTATGTTATTTTGGTAAAGTTTCAAACTTTATGCATTCTAATATATTTGAAAATACATGTTTATTTTATATAAACGCCTTGTTAAAACAAATGATGAATGGAACATTTTGAGTCATCCAAATTATTTATCCAGTCAGTAGAATATATATATTCAAATTATAATTTTTGAAACTTTGTAAAAAAAAAAAGATAACAATGGTCCATTTAGTAAAAAGATGAGATACAAAAAGTATAATTGCAATTTTAGTGAAAAATGTCCGAAACAACTTCAATTCTTCAAAACTGGATTAGTTTGTGTTACAATTCAGTTAGGACTTTACCTCTCCTTCGTTATCTTTCGCTCCCCTTGCACACACACATGAATGACCAAATTAAGATTGCATCAAAATGAGAATTGCTTAGGATTGCATCAAGCGCTCTGTTATCATCCCTACCCAACTCGAAAATAATTGACTTTTCAAACCCTCATTCATTGGAAAAAAAGGACCAAAGAAGAGAACAGTACTAAACTGAAGATAATGGGTAGATTGTTGTAAGTTATTACCATAGTAAAGAAAACTAACGTGATATGACAACCTTCAGAAATTGGACTGTTCTTCCTAAATCTCTCAACTAATTTGACTAAAACGATCAAAGTCAGAGTGACCCACTTTTCAATGCTATGTAACCAAACCAATTCTAAGAAGCCAAAGTTCTTCTTCTCCTCTTCTACAGAGTCCAATCTCTGATCAGAATTTCTCCAAATTTTGTTACCCAAAACTGAAATTTCTATAACTTATGTAGATGTAATCTAAATTTCCTTCCATTTCTAGGTTTTCTATTGCTTATTCTTTATTGTTAGCCCCAGCTCGCCTGCAACAATCACGGTGGTAGCCATGTCAAGAAACATACCGTGTTCCACAACTCCGGCGAGCCGCAGGATTCTGTCACTGGCGGCCTTCAAATCGCCGATGTCTTTCTCCAAGTACAAATCCACGATGTAGTTCTCGTTGTCCGTGACATACGGCTCGCCATTTTCTCCGGCGGTCCGAAGCTTCGCGATGCAGCCGGCGTCCTCGAAGAGGCTCTGGAGGCGGACGGCGGTGAATTTCCAGCAATACGGCACAACCTCGACGGGCATTGCGAGGCCGCTGCCGCCGATGAACTCCACGAGCTTCGACTCGTCGACGATCACTATGAACTTTTTACAAACACATTCGACCATCTTCTCGCGGAGGAGGGAGCCGCCTCGGCCTTTTACCAAATTGAGATCGGGATCGACCTCATCGGCGCCGTCGATGGCGAGATCGATGACGGGATGGGAATCGAGATCGGACAAGGGGATCCCTAACGAGACGGCTTGCTCGTAGGTCTTCTTGGACGTCGGGATTCCGACGATGTCCTTGAGCTTCCCTTGGCGGAGAAGCTCGGCGATCCGGTCGACGGCGTGCTTGGCCGTGGAGCCGGTTCCGAGCCCTAAAACCATCCCGGATCGAACGTATTCGACGGCCTTGTACGCCGCAATCTTCTTCAACTCGTCCTGAGTGAGAATCGGAGGAGCTAATGGAGATGACAGAGGCGCAGAAGATGGAATGAGAAGACCCGCGGCCATGGGCGATTTGTCGGACCCCATAAATTTGGGGAAATAAGGAATGGCCATTATTGGGGCAAAATTAGAACAACAAAAAGAGTGGTGGTGGGAGAAGAAGGGGAAAAACAGAAAGCTACTGAGTGGTGAGGCAGAAATCGAAAGGAAATCCGAACAGAGCTTTCATGGAAGAAATGGGAGGAGAATGAGAATCCGATCGAGGGTTTGGAAAAATTGAAAGGGGGAAGAAATTGGGGGAAAGAAAAAGAAAGCAAAATTCTAGGAAGATAATTGAAGGTGGGGAGTCTGTGGCGGAGAAAATAGGAAGCAGTATTAGAGAGATAGGGTTTGGATGTGAGTTTGTTTGGTTCTCGGGAAAGAGAGGGAAAATGGGGATTTATTTATAAGGGGGAAAAACGCGGTGGCCCTGAGGAGTTCAAACGCGAAAATCAAAATAAAATCTCTCTTTTTTGGCGTATTTCGCGCGGCGTGGGATTGAGATTCGATTCAGCGAATTTAAGCTTTTGTCACCATTTTCTTTCCTTTTTCCTTTTTCCTTCTGTTCCATTTTAATACTAGTTTATTAGTAATTTACACCTATTTTTAATTAAGAGATAATAAATTTAAATACCTTACTTTATTTGTTATATAAAAAAAGTAGTATAGGTATCTTTTTGGTAAAATTTTCATTTTACAACCACATATGAGTGTCCAAACTTATTTGAAAATTTATCAACTTTGTAAAAGCATATATTTTCGACAATAACATTATATTAATAAACTAAAATAAAAATCATTTGTAAATACGATCAATATTTTATTTCATTTCATCTCAACGAAAACAGTAATTTTCTCTGCGGTTAAGTTATATTCCTACAACAAACCCACAACTTCTTGATTGGAGGTATATGTTAATTACATATACAATGTTTAGATTAACATTCATCAATATTTTGTGTCTCATCTAGTTGCATGAAAATTTAAAGAATCAAATGGACCATTATTGGTACATTTGTAACTTCTAGTTTTTTGTTTCTCGTTTCTAATCTTAGTAAGAAATTTAAACTTTTGACAAACTATTTATGTTTCTTATTTTTCGTTTTTTAGAAACAATCTCAAAATTATATTGAAATTTTATTTTTGAAGAAAATTGTATTGAAATTTTAGAAACAAACACAAACAAGTTTTTCTTTTCCGTTTCCAATTTGTTCCAACATAAATAAAGATTTTGTTTTATATTCTAGAGTCTTTCGATAATGATTTGAGTGTGAGTGTACATTGGAAGATGTTGGGCCAAAATTGGACCTACAAGTGTGTTTAGGAAAAAAAAAAGGGGTCAAAATTAATATTAAAAAAACCACCACCCCACAATAATAATGCCAAACGAACCAAAATGACATAATTAATTTAAAATTGAACCGAATTATTAGTTTATGAAATGAACCAATTCGACTCAATGGTTTTTGAATTTCGACTCAAACGTAGTTTAAAAATTAAGCTATGCAGCTAATTCTGGACACCTACAAATAAAAAGCTTGAATTAGTGTGGTGCTCGATTTCGTAATTGTGTCGTTTAATTTAGAACTTAGTTTAAGTTGGTGTCAAGTCTAGTTAGATTATATAAAGATTGCGTACTTTCGAAAGAGATAGATGGACTTTGAGAAATGTTGTTTGTCATTCTAATGTTCCGTACCTAACGTTCAACGAATTTTATGCTGTTGATATATGTGTTTTCAAGCCGATTTTGAACAGAGTTTCTGAATGACTCTACATATCTCACGTAGATTGTCCAAACTAAGGCTTAGTTCTTGAACTAGCAATGCACGTGGGAGGTTTTGATTCTACCCATAACACTAATCATAAAATTCTAGCCATATTTTAACAACTAAAAAACTAATTTTGTTTTTTTTTTTATTTAGATTTCAATAGTGTTTTTATTTTTAATAAAGTAAAGAAACAAAAACAAAAATAAAGCTAAAAACGAACACGTCACCCTAGGTTAGCAGTTAACAAATTTAATTTTTTAAAATGAAAAAAAAAATCTAACGAAGCCTTATAATTTTTGTGGTTAAAAAAAATCTTTATTACTGATTTAAATTATTATTTTCATATCCTAATTAATTTTTAAAGTTTTTAAAATAATATAATGTTAGAAACTTGAAATTATTTCCAATTCTAATCTTTCAATTTTAATATTTATATCTTTTGTATTATCATACTTCTATTTATTTCACTTTAATCCACGAAGCAGAACTAAATATTAGTATAACATTTCATAAAATTTTTAAAATTTATATAGATATATTAACTTCATTAGTTTAGTGATTAAGACATTGCTTACCTTGGGACTAATCCGTAAAAAAGAGGAAAAAAAACTAATCCAGTGTAAAAGAAGGATAAAAATTCATTTCCTTTGTATAAAACTATTTAACATATCAGTAAAGAATCTTTTATTTAAAAAAACAGGAAATATATATATATATATATATATATATATATATATATATTTATTAGGAATCATGTCAACTTTAGTGCCACATTAAATATTACTTATAATTTGATTGGATAATTAATATTAGGATTAAATCGATGCAATTACTACCAAAATTAAAATAATAATACTGGGACCAAAACGTAGGAAAACTTTGTCCTATAACTTTCATTTATTTATTTGTATTCTTTTCAATTTAAGAAAAATTAATTATTTCCTTATCAATCTTTTTTTTTATTATTTACTTTTTAATGTAATGGATTCTTTTGAGATATATAATGAGAAGTTCCAATTGAGTTCTTTATTCCAATGAATCTAATTCTTCTATGAAGACTTTGAACACAAAACTGTTTTCCATCAAGAAAATAAACTTATTGTCAAAAAGGAAGAGGAGAAAAA